GAAAAGGAAAGAAGGGACAATTAATATTACAAATGAAAGAGGGGTCATTACAGCCAGTCCCTTGGACATTAAAAGGCTATTAAGGAGTATTATTAACAACTCTATCACCACAAATTTGAAAACTTAGATGAAATGAACCAATTCCCTAAAAGATACAATCTGCCAAAACTTACTCAAGAAGAAACAAACTGAATAAGATTATCTGTATTAAAGAAACTGAATCAATAATTAATAACTTTCACAAAGAGAAAACACCAAGCCCAGATGGCTTCGCTGAATTCTACCAAATATTTAACAAAATGTTACCAACTTTCTGCAATCTCTTTCAGAAAGTAGGAACAAAGGGAACAATTCCTCATTCATTCTGAGGCAAATCTAGTATCAAAATCAGACAAAGCCATTACAAGAAAGGAAAATTATAGATCAGTATCTCTCATTAACATTGATACAAAAATGTTTAGCAAAATCCAAAGAACTGTATGACACAAGAGTAAACCCTAATGATGTCTATCAATATTAGTTCATTAATTGCAACAAATGTGCCACACAGAAGCAAGAGGTTAATAAGGAAAACTATGGGAGGGAAAACTGGGTATATGGTTGGTGGGGTGTGAGGTCTCTGTACTTTCTTGTCAATTTTCCTGTAAAACTAAAATTACTTTTTTAAAAAGAGTCGATTTAAAAATGCATACTAAGTAAAATATCCCTTTTATCTACTTTAAACACTGATGTTCTATAAAAAAATGTTCCTGAGAATATGCATTCTTTCTGGTAAAGATGTTTGGCAATCAATGGTGCAACAGAATTATTTCTATTTTGACAGATCTTTCAAATGCCATCTCTGTTGCTTACTGATTATGTGCCCTCCAGCAGATTTTGAAGCCTCTGGGCTTCAGCATCTTTGTGCATAAACCGAAAAAAAAAAAATAATCACCTTTCTCACAGGTCAGTTGGATTAAATTAAGGCCAGCTGGCCAAAGCTGCACAGAGCAGGCATGGGTGTGTTCTTTTCTCCCTCATTTGCCCCAGAATTCTAACTCAGGTAGGATAATACACCCAATTTCAAACGAGTATTTCTCAAAGGTAAACGTATACCCTGCAAGGTACATGCAACCATTAAACAATACCTTGTGCCTTACAGGAGCTCAACTTAAAATTTTTAAGTGAGAAAAAGCTAAATATTTAATTGGTAGTTTAAAATGCTGTTATGCTAAAACATTGCTCTAGCAGAGTATCCACACTATATTTCAAGAGGCAACATAAGACTATGCCTTCATTAGAACTAAGGCCACATTCTCAGATTTCCAGGGCGGCTACTTCACCATCTTCTGCTGTTTGGGATAGATCCCAAACCTTTCCACTGAAGCAGCTTTTTGTTTCTAATTATGTTACTAAACACAAGTTGATTTTCTTCTCATTATCAGTCACGTGTCAACAGTTTAGCTCCAACGGGCCTGGTTACCCTTAAATTAGCAAGGACAACCTGAAAAATAACATTTCACATTATACAAGTCATTTAAAATGGAATGGATAGTAATCTGAGTCAGAACTAAGCAAGCAAAAAAATGGAAGACCGTACTTCTTAAATTATGACTTCTCAAGGTCTTGGGTATTAGATGTTTTTTCTTTCCCCCTGAACTGTACACATTTGCCTGTACATAAAGACTACTAGACTAATTTTTAGGTGCAAATTATTCTGCAGATCACTATGGAACATTCTGTGCATAAAATCAAACACTTTACTGTATCTGTACGGATAAACAAAGTGACATGAGTACTCTAGGGCCGAAGAGGCTGAACAAACCTGTACTGAGCTGTCACACATTAAGAACAACGATGAACCGAAGCATGTTCAGGGAAGATCTAAAAAAACCTTTAAGGATTCCAAAACTATGTTGCAGGAATAAGGGCAGTAAGATGGAGGTGCTTAATCTATTTAAAAATAAAAGCAACAACAGAACGGGCTTGAAATTAATACAGTATTACAGCCATCTTAAAACATCTGGAGGCCGTCATAGTTGAAGGAAATCAGACTTGCTTTATGTCCTCCAGAACTAGGAACAACATAGGAGGCAGCAGAGTACAGATCTCTGAGCTTGCAGTCAAGAGAGTTGGGTCCTACAATTGTGGATCCACTGTGTGGTATCAGAAATACAGGAGATATTCCTGGATATTCATTCCTTTGTATATAAAATGAGGGTGCTCAACTAGATAATGTCTATGGTAATTTTCAAATAAAATACGACATGGAAGCAAATCCTGGATCCACTTCTCACCATGAAGGCATCCTGGACATGAAATCATCTATCTCATCAAGTAGCGAGTTCTCGCTCTAGTTCACATATCATCATTATCATTTGCTCCACCGTAAAGGTGAAAGTAGAACAGACACAGCCAACTATTTTAATTAAACACCAAATGTCCACAAGCTAGTGTTCTTATAATAAGAATTAAAAGATAGGATGGAAGATTATTGTGGTTTCTATGTTACCATCTATTGAATAAACCATACTAATATTTCTAGGGGGAAAAAAAAACCTAAATCATTTTTCTAAATCATTTGTATTGAATATCGCATTTTCCTTTGATTCTAGATATACTAAATAGTATATGCTAACACTCCACTCTGTGAACCTACTTAATATTCCTCAGAGAATAACAGCGTAACTTTTTTCTCTAAATGATTTTATATACTACCCAACATTATTTTTTAAGCCTTATATAACAAATTCCCCTAAGTTACAGCATAAATGAATGCTTTTAAAACTCAAATTAATTTCTCAAACCAAGATAAAAATTATTCAGTACAACTGTTTTCTAGGTTCTAGATATCATGTAAGTAAAACAGGCAAAATGAAGCCAGGCAATAATCTCATGGAATATGTACTCAACTTTCCATACAAAGTATAATATTTTAATAGTGCTCAGAGCTTAAGAAATACTAAATTAAAAATGGATGATAAACACTAAGAGAGCACAGGTAAAAGATGCCCTGAAATATAGGAGGCTAAGTACACCAGAGGTACAATGTCTGTGGATGTATGTATCTAAATGCACTCCAAAGTACTACAAAAACACATCTGTGGTTCATCCTTTTTTCTGGGAGAGATTTTTAAGAAAAATTATTTTCCTAATTCTACACCTGTCTGAAAATCCAAGGATATCTGTTGTAAGTTGACTTTACCATCAGACATTACATTGAACACATTTAACATTTTTCTACCTATGCCATACCTTACCTCTTGAGTAGAGATCCCTTTGATCATAATTCCTGAAAACTCCGAAGCATACTTTGAAGTTCCCTAACATTTTTACTGCAGTAATCTAATTACCTTAGAGGATACTAGTGGAAAAGAATTTTAGAGCACCTATGTGCTTATTTTTGAAAACAAAAATCTTTCACATTTTAGGCAATCTTCTTAATGGCAAATAAAAATACCCGAATAAAAAGCAAGCAATTGCTTAGGACATTTTGCTCAATTGTTTCAATATAGCAAAGTAAAGTAAGAATAAGATCTGAGCTCGTAAACAACAAACTGTAAGGTCAGTACTTTGTCAGACACACTGCTTATGTGACATTTACTTTTTTTAAACAAAAGCTATTTTGTCTCCTCACTAAAGAACAAAAACAAAATTTTATTATTATAGTTAATCCAATGAATGATGGTGAAACAATAAGCCTATGTTCTTATACCTCAAAGATATAAAGGTAAGCCATGTTTAACATTCTGTCATGTTTTTATTTTGAACACAGTGTAGGGAAGAGTCCACGTGATAAAAATTAAAGTATTTAAAACTCTCATTTCACCATTATTTTTACAGTATGTTTGAAGTTTCTGGTACAGAATTTTTATTTAACCCCTCACACAACCCACTCTTTTGCATATATAGTTAAGGCTTATAAATTTTTTGTATTCAAGTAAAAAATACAGCCTTCTATTGAAATATGTCTGTGAATCTTTTAATGGCTTTAATTCTAAAAACAAAATTTTATCCACAGAATCTTAACTCCTTTTCCAAACTTACCAGAGTAATTAAGCCAAGAATTTTAGCTTCCTTCTACCCCCCAAACACAGTAACTATTCTAAATCATAATTTCCTTTTTTATTTTTTCAGAGTATAATTTCTTTGGGGAGCCAAACAGTTTCATTTTAATCCACAAGTTGTCATTAATTCAACTTTTATTTCTTGTCTAGGACCCCATCACCATGTTTTTAATTTTTGGAGTCCACTTCTTATATATGTTTTCTTCAAATCAAAGAGAAACCCCTCTTGCTTCTAGCAGACTCTGCATAGAAAAGGTAAATTGTTCCAGTGGCTTCAGTTTTAAAGTTTATGTAACTATAAAGAATCATAAAAACCAAGTTTTATCCTTTTCCATGTTGTCTTGATAAGGTTAAAAGCAAGAGACTCTCAAGATTTCTCCTTCTATGATTATCTGTTCAAACAGAACATTAAATATAAAACATCTTTCTTCTCCTGTTAACAGCTCTTGTGAATTGGGTAGTTCTCCAATCAGCCAATATTTCCAAATGTTCTTTTTCTGGGTCAAGGATTTGTCTTTTATATGCTATTTTGTAAGGGGTTATATTTTGATCAGTCTCACTTTAAAAGATTTGACCATGTTATTCCTGATATTTACAATATTTCAAGAGTTTTAATGGTTTGCAAAATGGACACACCAAAACAGCATCTAAAGAAAAAAAAAAAAACACAAAAACCCACTTCTGGAAACAAAGATGAAGCTAATCAGGAAAATGGAAAAAAAAAAGACTAAATAGATCACCTATTTCATACCTTTGGCACTGGATGACCCAATGAAGAATCATTTTAATTTAATAGTTTTTGGAAAATTTTTTTCAAAAAAGATTTACACAAGAATAGGATATATATTCAGAAATACTTAGAGGAAGACACATAAAATTAAAATACACTTAAAAATACTGTTGTTTTCATTGTCTACTCCTGAAACAAAAATAAGCCATTTATCAGTAAGTGCATTTTTTTCATGGAGAAAATATTTATTAGTTTTCAAATGATCACATAATACAAATATTACACAATTAGTCATTCTAGGAAAAAAATTAGCTTATACTAATAATCATAAAATAAACACTGAAAAATATAGGATTGCATAGTGACACGAAATATAAAAAAATCTGAAAGGAAAATGTATCAAAATAAAAGTTTAAATAAACAAATCAGTTCACATTAATATACAAAAAGTTTCACTTTAAAATAGCTTTTAGTGGCATGAGGTGAATGGAAATGCACTTACATTTCTTTTGCACACTTTAAGGAACAGAGCTAAAATTTAATCAAAGCATGAAGTTAAGAGATTAAATCACTTTTCATCTTTAAAGCTGAAACAAAAGGCTAATAATCGCACAGGCCATAAACTGGTTGGTACTATGGTTCAAAGAGTTCAACTTAATTTCCAAGCAAATTTCACTTTCATTTCCCCTGAGTTCTAAAATGGTGGGTATTTTTTAATTTATGTGTTTGTAAAGACGGTCTTATTCGTATTTAACAACAATAAATCAAGCATAAAAAGCTGTAATCATTCATGGGAATTCAGAGCTCCCTACAGAAATTTTAGTTCAAATTGATCTTTTAAACTTTTAAGTACTATACAAAAATTTATAATTAATGAGAAAAAAAAAAACAGGTCTCATGGAAAGAAAGACTAAAGGCCAGGTTATAAACTTAGTAAATGTGGTTCCTAAGACCTTCAAGATCCCTAAAACATTTAGATGCTTAACTCTAGAATTTCTATTCCTAAAAAGTATACCAAATAAAACAAACTGGCAGCATCAGGTAACTTTTAAAAACTTCTTTAATAGCTTTTGACTGACCAGTTAATAGATACCAAAGAGAAAAACAGAAACATTTTGTTAACTCCTTCCATTTGGATAACTATTTTGCAACACTTCTTCACATGTAGAGGCTTATTCTAATATTGCCTTTGCTCTATAAAATACTTTCTCATTTCAGTATCATTCAAACTTTAGTATGCCTTTAATGCAGAACAATACCTCAAATTTAACAGGTATTTACTATTTTAGAAGACTGCCCAAGCTACTTTGATCTCAAAAGATGTCTCTCCTACTCCATACTGGAATCTTTGTTGATTTGACAAATAAGAATTAAGGCTCAAGACCAGAAAAAGAGAAGTTAAAGACTGTATCCTAATACTAAAAGTAATTTGGGAATAATTAAGAAATTCACCTTTTATTTACTAGTTCTTTTCAGTGTCAGGCAACAAAAAACAGTTCCAGAAGTTTTTGGGATCTCCTATAATACTTAAAAAAAAGGGGGGGGGTTGCCTGCTTCATTAAGGTGATTTTCAATCCCACAAATCTTTTAAGTGAAACAGAGAGCTGCTTTTAAAAGAAAGGAGTCTCTCATACTGCCTCTATTTCAGTCTTCTGAATAGAAAGGAATATTTGCATGGCCATGTAAAACTCCAATCTGAAAAAATTATTTCATTATTTGAGCCTTTCCATTTCCAGACCAAGAGTACACCAGAATAAATCTTAAAGTTTATAAATGACAAGATCAGGTGGCTCTCTCATCCTTGTGTCTTCTAGATATAGTGCGTGGCTCCGTTCACCACTGCCTTCCAAACTGCAGGTGCTGCATGTGTGACAGAGATCATCCATGAAGGCTCTGCTAGAAGAGTTCCTTTTGCTGAAGAAGTATGATGTTTACCAGTTGAAAGAAATCTGGGCAATTAGAGAACAAATAAACCGGTCTCCCATTATCAAGATACCTGGAGTCACAGAAGGAATCCACCAAGGAAAAATGAAAACTTGCCAAAGACACCAAAGTTCACGTTCTACCCACTGTAGATGATAAGAACTTCCTGGAATCAAATCCTACCCTTGGCATCAAAGAAACTAAGAGAAAACCATCTTAATGCCATGGGAAACATCTAGGACAAGGCTCTTTTTGCCACAAATAACATTATTCCTAGGGACTGGAAAACTACTTATGAGTATATATTTAACATAGCTTTCAGGGATAATATATCCTGAAACTTATAATCATTCACATTTATCTTATTAAAGAATGAAGCCTCAATTTGACAGTATCATCGTATCTTCTAAAAGATCTAATTAATATGAAGTCCTAAAGTCTGAGGTAGGAAAAAGACCAAAAAGTTCTAACACGGTAGAGTAACACCTGGACATCAGACTGTGTAAATTAGGAAAGTTCAGATGTCCAGCTTGCCCAAAGATGAAATACAAAAACTTAATTACTGGAATATAAAAGAGCACTTAGAAGTCCACTAATACCATTCAAGGTTAAAATGGGCAAATATTCCTCTTTAAAATTCCTGTGGACTACACAGGTAGTCACCAAATCTAGTGCCCCCAAATCATCCACTGCTTTAATCATCTGGAGAGAAAATTAAATAAATTGTAGGCCTCGTTTTTGAATTCGGCACTAGTTAGCATTCTTAGAAAAAACAAACAGATTGCAGCCCCACTTGGTTCTTATATGAACCCAAGGAGTATACCAACAGAATTAAATGGGCAATGGAAGGACACTCCAATCTATAAATAAACCCAAGTAAATAATGGAAAGCACCCACTTGTTTATTATCCTTTCCCACTCTCTCCAGTAGCTGGATATTCTGCCTCCAAGGGTTCAGTGGAGAAAGTGGACCCCTGACGTCAAAAGCTCTCCGTGGTCTTGGCTGTATCTGTGGTTCTAGGATCACTCCTTGCACCTCTGGTAGGAGAGAAGCACTGAAATAGAGAGCTGAATATAGATTTAAGAAAAAATTCTTATTAAGAAATTACATTCTCTGGTCATTTGAGTTTGTAATGACTTATCCTCAGGATAAAAAGGAGCTACCTTTGGGGATACTTTCTTTAGTGCCTTTCTAATTTGAATTTTAGAAATCTGTCACCACAAATGATTAATTCTTCAGTAATTATTAAGAAGGGGCCTATCTTGGTGTAAGCCATAACATACTCTGTGACAAACCACCCAACTTCGAGTGGAAGACCGAATCAAAAACTGATAAATTATGACTAGAAACAAGAGCACAGTTGTCTTAAAGGGACAGGGAAAGGCACTCGACCTCAGAGATATCAAATGAGGAGTCCCAGTTAGTTCTTCTGTCAAAGAGAAGAAGATGGATTGAAAAAGGAGAAACAGAATAATCAAGCATATTAACAGAAAAACTACTAAACTTTGGGAATCGTCTAAGAAGCTGAATTTGTTCTCATTTTTAAGTGTTCAGTAATTTAAAGAATTAATCAGACTACAGTCCCATATTACAGCAATACAAAGCTAAGCCTAAATTTTATCAAGTTATGACTACTGTCACTGAAAAAGATTTATTCTTCAAGCACTCATATTTAAAAGTGGGAGGGCAGAGCAGTGGACATAGTAGGTAATACAATCTAAAAATCTTTTTTAAATGTATGATCATTTGGTTTTGGGTCAAGAAGGACCAGGAAATAAATCATTAATGGTTACAATGCAGATATTAAAGCAGTAAGATATACCCAAATAACAGATGATGATAAAGATACTGGAAAATAGTCTGCTTTATTATAGGAATAAGGTAAATAAGAGAAGGAAGTTCAAAGCACATAGCATCTGATCAAGGAAAAGCTGAAAGGAGAATAAGATAAGCAGATATGTATTTAAAGTTATAGGGACTGCAGAATAAATTTTAATAGTGGAAAACAGATCAATTATACTTTGTGGTACAGAGTAATACATCCCTATTAAATTTCAGATCTCACTCTAAATAGAAAGGGGCTGCACATTCCTGTTGTATAGAATACAGCCACACTATACTATATCATGGACACGTTATATTTGGGGATAAATTAAGAAAAAAACGCTATCAAATAATTTCTCTCACGCCAACTGGTTATCAGAAGGGTTCCTTACCTGTTAGTGGAACGAGGATTGTGCTCTCTTGTTCTCTATCAACCAACCAACAAAGGTTATAGTCTCAGCACTAAGAAGGGAGCAACCAACCAAAGTTAGTGTTTTAAGGCCTCCACTTCCTCCTGGCTCTGCCAGCCAGTTTGGAAATAAACCAACAGCTGAAAAGGAATCGTTATTCCATTACCTAACAACATTTAGACTCAATTTTTTTTTAAAGCCTGAAGAAGAAAGACAAGCTAACCCTTCTGCTTTAGGAATATATTCAATTCTGTACAAGTGAGAAATGAAAACAGTTTGGACTAAGAAAAGAAAACCTATGAATTTAACCATCAAATCTGTGATTTCCAAAATGTAAAGAAGGGAAAAAAGAAATCGAAAAGAAGTCAAGGGGGTGAAACTGCCATCTAGCAAGAGGTATCAAATAAGTATCTACGAAAGTACTTTACGAGCCTATGTGGCAGCTATTTTTTTTATGTTAACTTTCCAATAGATTTTAAGTCCTAAAGTCTTTTAGTTTTGAAGACTATACTTTTTGAGCACTAGCTTACAACAGTATTTTACAGTATAATCACATTGAGAGGGTATATGAGGGATGATGAGAGGAAAGGAGTACAAATTAGAAAAAGATCTGAATACTAAATATCTCAAGGACTGTACTCTAATTAGGTATTTTCAAGAATCCAAAAACAACACTATAATCCCAAATAGATTAACAAAGTATGCCACAGCTGGAGTTCTTAAGGGGTGGCTTTTTAACAGATGAGAAAGGCTTAGAATTAATACATCAGAGCTAGCTTATTTATGTATTCATTGTACCTACAGCAGCCCCCACCCCCCATCTTAGTACCTACAAGACCCTCCCACGGTTTTGCTCTCCTGGTTCCAGTTACCCTGTTCAACCATGATCCGGAAGCAGATGATCCCCTGACACATTGTCAGAAGGTCAACAGCAGCCTAATGCTACGTCACAACGCATGTGCTGTTCACCTCACTTCATCTCATCGCTAAGCATTTTATCATCTCACATCATTACAAGTAGAAGGGTGAGTACATACAATAAGATATTTTGAAAGAGAGACCACATTCACATAACTTTTATTACCGTATATTGTCATCATTGTTCTATTTCATTATTGTTAATCTCTTGCTGTATCTAATTTATAAATTAAACTTTATCATAGGTATGTTATGTACAGGAAAAGACAGTATATACAGGGCTCAGTACTACCCGCGGTTTCAGATATCCACTGGGAGTCCTGGAATGTAACCCAGATAGATAAGGAGGGACTACTGTATACTGTGCAAACAGGTGTTATAAAAGTATTTTTTAATTATTAAAAAAATCACCCTCTAGGGCGCCTGGGTGGCTCAGTTGGTTAAGCGACTGCCTTCGGCTCAGGTCATGATCCTGGAGTCCCGGGATCGAGTCCCACATCGGGCTTCCTGCTCAACAGGGAGTCTGCTTCTCCCTCTGACTCTCCCCCCTCTTGTGCTCTTTCTCTCACTCTCTCTCTCAAATAAATAAATAAAATCTTTAAAAAAAAAAAATCACCTTCTAGTCTTTTCTAATCAATTTCCTTGACAAATCATTCTTTTTCATGTTTAGTATTTTAATATAAACCATTAAGATTAAAAATTTCCAAATTGATGAGATCTAAGTAAACCCTAACTACTTTAAGATACAGTTTTAAAAAGTAAATTTAGAAACTATAAAGATATGACTTTCCAAATTTCCCAGTTTTCCTTCATTTCTTGAATACTAATCAGTAGTAATAGTACATCTGATTGAAAATACAGGCAAAAAGGGAGCATTCCATTTGGGAACAGGAAATACAACTAGTAAATTTTTTTTTAAGTTACAGGCTCACTTCACTTTGAAAATGAAAAACAACTCCTAACAAAGCATATCTTGCTCAGATTAACAGTAGGCTAAGTTCACAATTTCTCCTACAGTCGGAGCTCTAAACCCTTGATTTATTTACCATACCTCGCGGAAGTCATAATTTAAAAATACAAACCCATTAAAAAGAAAAATAAATGTTCTTAGGATAGGTTATAGGGCTGCAGAAGTATATCCACTCAAACTTCTCCCAAGTGAGATGACTTTCAGGAAATAACATCTTTATTTTGCCTGATATACCAAAACTTGTGGATTCAACATATTCATACTAAAAAATGAATACACAGATTTCCTTAAATAGAAATTATTTTGAATCATTGAGGAGAGCCAGTATATCTCTTGCTTCAGGAGTTAATTATTTATGAGACTGTGGATTTGATAATGTATCATTTATAAAGAAAAATGTAGAGGCACTTTCAAAATGAGATCATTATTCAAAAAGAAAGAGCAGCCTTTGTGAGACTACTATTGATAAAGGCTCTTAAGAATGACACCAGTAGGACCTTACTTAATTCTATTTTAATAGACAGCATTCTTCTATGTGATGTTTAAAGAGATGAAAAAAATAAGCATTCCACCAGAGAACTTGTATTTCAACCACTAGAGAATAAATTCCAAAACAAAACTAACAAAATCACCAGTGCTGAAATGCCACAAAGGAACTCAAATGGATGTTAGGAGGTCTATTAATCCACTACACCTCAATAAAATCACTTGAGTATTATCAATAATATTTAAATTTTTAAAGATTCTTACTGAAGATCCAGTTATAGTCAATCAGAAACAATAAATCTAAGTTTTTTATATATAAATACCACTCTGAGAAATTCTCCCAAAATGTGCAAACTAGACTCTTTGCAGTATTTGTTTTCAACACTAAATTATTTAGTGAGCATATACTGCTTATTAGCTTTAAGCATTTCTAATACGGAAGAAAGAGAAAGCTAAGCCTAATCATTTTTAAGCAATGAAGTAAGAGGCAATATGTTTCTATAAAGGCTATTTCTATTCACTTGTATTATAACTGACTAAAATTGAACTTGCTAATTTACAGATTTATAAATTACCTATAAAACAAAACATTCCAGGCTAAATTGGAAGCATGATATAACATATTCTTTTTACTCATCTTTTATCACTCATTCTTACTGGTTCTAAGGCACGTCTATAAAGAAAAAGAATTTCTCACAAACCCCTCCAAGTGCCCAGAAAAGCCCCAGCTGGCAGTAAGAAGAAAATCAAAGAACAACCATAACAGAAACCTTGAGTCCCTATCTCCAGATAGAGCTACTTCGTGCAGTGAGTTTAAGTCAGTAAACGTTTTACAAGTGAATGAAGTCTACTGATCAAGAAACAAAAAGTAAGAAAAGAAGAATTTTGTCAAGTGGCTGATATCTAAAGTAGACACTAAAAAGTTCAACTTTCTAATCCTAAAGAAAATAAAAATTACGAAAAGTATTACTTTCAAGGATCTCTTGGGGGTTATCAGTTTCTACGATTAATTTTCCAATATGGTTGGCAGAACTTCAAGGGTATCCTAAGAGGATACAAATTTTAGCTAAATTATAACACCTATTATAGATTCTCTAATGTTCTTTTCCAGATTCAAAATTAGTAAGAAAACAAATCAGATATTGCCAGAACACCCAATTTTAAATATTCAGTTTGAAAAGATCTTGCCAAAAAGCAAAAGGAATGAACAAACAGAACCAGCTACCTTAGAATTAGTTAGCCATAGTATTGTATTGACTCTGGAGGAAAAGATTACTTCTAATCCACAATCTTGTATATACTGTCAAGTAGGATGCACTTCAAAAACACCAAAATAAGGAAGAAAGCCTGAAACTTTAAGGAATGTATAGCATTATGAGAGTAGACACTTACCATGGAAAGCAATTTCTTAAAAGAGAAGAAAGTTGTAGTAAGAATGAAAAACCCTAATTATTAGAATGTTTCAAGAACTACCAAGTTTCAAGATTTACCACTGTATTTTCTCTTCATCCTTTTGGAAAAGATACTATCCAAAAATCTTATTAGGATTCAAGTTACTCCACTAGGTTTAAACATCAAGTATTTGTTAACAGATGAACAAAAGACAAGTAATGTGTCTTCATGATTCACTGATTAAGGTATAAGATGAAGTAAAACAGATAAAGACACAATGAACAATGCATTTTTTAAAGTAGTTAATCCATTATAGAATAAACAGATAAAGACAATGCACAATGCATTTTTTAAAGTAGTTAATCCACTACAGAATAAAAGATAAAAGGCAATCATAAAAATATATATCATATAAAAAAGGCAACTTCAAGGTCAAGAAGATTAAACACAAAAACGTTTATATTTTCCACTGCCTCCTCTCAATGAAAAAGGCCTTTAGATTTGAAAAGAAAACCTTAGAAGTCTATTTTAAGAACCTTCTAAATTGCTCTCGTAAATTCTTTTCATAACTAACCCAGCCCATTACTTTTACCTCTTTTTCACCTGTTTATTTTGCTAGTATGAAATATTTGGCTTTGTTCTTATAGTGGCCAGCATACCCTGAAGTATATACAAGGTACTGGCGGGGGGGAAAGGATCATCTTTCTATGACATTTTTTATTCCAGGATCTTGGGTTGTGCGACATCCCTAATGAGTGCATTTAGAAACAGATGAAAAGACTATAGAAAGAAAAACAGTGACGTTTTATTAATTGTGCTGCCTTTATATTAATTCTTTTGAGACATTTCTCCATCTATAACAAGAAATACATCAACAACAAAAAGATGTTACAGAATTAAATTCAAAAGATTCTGATCAAGCAAGATTCATTAGTGGATGCTAAAATTAATGGAAATTATGATGAGAAATTGAAAATATGATGAGAAACAAGATATTTACAGTGTCTCAAAATATCTCCCCACAAAATACTTGCTATTTCTAAGGGCAAAAAGAGTAATTTTAAGAGTATAAAAACTTGGCAGACACCTCCTTAACCAAGTGATTAAGATAATGTCACCAGTAACAGAACAAATCAATACCACGTACCTCCTGATATAATGCACTGATAAGGACATAACATTATTTCCGTGGTGTCCTTGCCAAAAATGCATTATCCCAATCTGATCATGAGAAACATCAGACACACAAATTGAGGGACATTCTAATAAGCTAGTACTCTTCAAAAGTGTCAAAGTCGTGAAAGGCAAAGAGAGAAGCATCCCAGGCTGAAGGAGACTAAGGAGATAGGACAACTAAGGACAAGAGTATGAGATCCTAGATTAGATCCTGGACCAGAAAAAGGTCATTTAGTGAGTAGACAATGGTCAAAATCAAATAAAGTTTACAGATTGGTTAGTATTAATTCCTGATTTCTATAGTTGTTCTATGATTATATAAAATACAACCATTAAGGAAAACTGGATGAAGTATATGAGAATTCTATGAACTAATTTGCAACTTTTTGGTTAAGTCTAAAATTATTTTAAAATAAAGTAAAAAATAAACAGGTTCTGAATAAGGTACCATATTCGACACACCTATGGAATGTCCACTAAGAAATATAAATATACATTTTCTAATATGAAAAGTTTATACCAATCTTTCTTTAAAAATTAATCCTAATGGAAATGACAACATTATGTCATGTTCTGTACTAATATCAATCAGTTGGTGATAGTCTTAAGTTTTTTAATTTCTTTGGTAAATAGTTCTCTACATAGAGAAAGTACGTGTGAGATCAAAAGAGAAAACCTTCTCACCCGCAAACAGAAAAACTAAATTATGTTTATGTTAAATAACTAGTTGTAGAAATTAACTTTGGGCTACAGCAAACATATGATAGAAGAGGTGGAAAAAAACCAAAAGGTCTTCCAATTTAAATTGATAATTTAAATTATCTATAAACTTATTGCTGTAAAGCAGAAGGAATACAATATTCTGCTCATTTTGTTCTTTAAAAATGTCCATAAGAAACAAAGATTAGTGCCATAAATGTCCCTCTTGCATTTTTTTTTACTAAAAATCAAATGATGAAGCTACAAAATATTTATTTTTTTAATTTAATTATTTAAGTAATCTCTATACCCAACGTGGGGCTCAAACTCACAACCCCAAGATCAAGAGTCACATGCTCTTCCTCCCTGGGCCAGCCAAATAATCTACTTTCACTTATAAAATCAGTTAAAAATATTCATGACCTTTTTTTTTCTTACCATTTATTGAGCTT